TATTTCTATACTCAAAAATTTAAATTGTTTAACAAAATAAGATTCGAAAGCTATTTCAGATTTGAAATTTTTAACTTTTAATACATTGCTTGTTTTCGACGGGAATAGAATCGCCTTAAAATTAGATCGCATTTTAAATTTTAGTAAATTTTCTTCGCTTTGCAGACAATACATTACTATTTTTAAAACTTTCGTTTATAGTATATAAAATGTTTTAGATCTCCATGCTTGTATTTAGGAAAATTTTGGCAACACTGGTGCAATATATTATATAGCTATACTCATTTTTTCATAAGCTTTCGCTTAGTTCACTCATAATGTTTCACTCTACGTGGAATTTTGTCATCGATTTTTAGCCTACTTCCTCTTAAGCTATCGGGTTCACATTTTATACACACCCTGTTTCTCGATGAAAATGCAATGCGAAGTAGCGAGGTTTTATTTTTCTTTTCTTTTTTTTTTCTGAAAATTCGATTTTAATTTAATGTTTAAACGATTTTTCGCAAATATCTTCGTTTAACGAACACACTAAGAGAACCATCAAATACAGCGAAAGAAATGTTTTTCAGTTAAACTTGTATGGAAATTAACTTAATTTCTTAATTTTTGAAAATCGTTCGACTTTTTAGACAAATTGACGTTTATGATTTTAAAATTTCAACATCTAAAAATGTATCGGATATAAAGTTTTGAAATTTTCACAGGTTCACAAAATTTTCGTCCTGGTTTAAAACAATAATGATAAAAAAATTTTAGTTGAGCGAATTTCTAATTTTTTTTTAAATGTGTTGCAGTGTGAAGCAGCCGGAATAAAAGAGCATTTTGAGTTTTCAATCTTGGCGCACTTAATGACCAATTTGTAACATTATTATTGCAACCAGTTTTCGAAATTGAATATTCAAAGCGATTTCTTACTTCTGTGAATGATGTTCAGTTATTTATCTTTATTTCATAATGTTGTTGTGATTTATTGCTTGTGTTTTCATAATGGCTAAAAAACGTGTAATTAAGTCCAGAAGACAGAAAACAAAATACAGTTAAAAACATTTTCATATACTAAGCTTTTATTTTAAATCAATATGATAATTAATGCACTAGAAGAAGGAAATTAATTTGTCATATAATTAAATAGGAATAATAAATTATATACTTCTATATACAGAATTGATCTACAATTTTACATCGCGAATAATAAAAGCGTGGGACGATTAAATAATGAAATATACTAATGTACATGAATGCTGAAATGTGTAAGCCATTATCTTTTTTTATTTATCATAGATGTGGCTGTTATTATTTGCGATATAAAATTCAGCTTAATTCATATCAATGTAATTATTTTGTTATCTTAATATACTCTTCACAATATACAATTCGTTTTCTTCATTACTCTTGCATTATGAATCGTAGCATTGAGGTATTTATGCATAAGTTAACTAACTAAACAAAGCATATTAAATTTTATTTTAAAACTTGGATGAACGGCTGAAAACAGCATTCAAAGAGATGTAATGAAAGCTTTAACAGCGATTTCTTACATCTTTACGTGCATAAGTTAATAATAGATAAGGATGGTTTTCCCCGCCCACATCGCAGACTTTCTATCTTCGTAAGAAATTAATGTCAGATTAAGAACCCGTATACAGAATCAAAACAGCGTATTTTATCAGATATTACGGATTAAAATATTATCCAGCTTATAGCCGACCGAAGCTACCCACAAAATAAAAGGAAAGACACTAACTGTGTACATCAGCCGAATACTAATATACTAAAAAAAGATATTTTAGTAGGAAAGCTTCGGTCGCTATAAACTCTATAAATGACTACGAGCAGATAAAAGAATTAAATAAACTTATTATTAGCCCATAAGAGCTATTAGTCTCAAAACGGCCTTTTGAGTTAAATCACTTAAATGCGATGTATCACGTTTCAAACTGTTGCCACCAAATATTATCGCCCTTTATTACATTTAAAGAAGGTAAATGAAAAATCTGCATAAATGTATGTATGGTCCTCCCACTGTGAAAAAACAACGTTACCTATATTTATCTAATTTTGAATAACAACCTCCACCCGAACATGGGCACCTGGAAGCCCTAATTTGGAATTTCAAATTTGTTTTATTGTCTATTTCGTATTTTGTAAAACTTTAACTAATTTTCGATTGAAAAACTTAACAATTTCAAAGCGAGCACTGCAAGATTGTGAAGAATAAAACAATATTATCTCCAGCGCGCGAGACTGCCTATCGGAAATTCTAAGGATGTGTTGGTTTTAAATATGTTTAGCCCACAATGGCGTTAGTCCAAATACTCTCGAAACTTATATGTGTCTATAAAGGAAACAAACGCCCGTTTGGACTTAATATATATATATTTTTTTTTAAATTCATTCAGTTACATACACTTTCTTTAGCGGCTCCTATTTTGACTTAAGGATAGAGTCCAATAGTCATTTAACTTAATCTGGGAGCTCATTCATTGCAGCAATACTACAAAAAGCTTTCTACCACTAGATATAAAATCAGATTTTAAAACTTCGGAATTGCTTGTTGATAAACTACAGTATAATAAGTACAGTATAATAACTAATGTTAATATTTTAAGGTTTAGTAATAGAACTATAAAAAACACGAAATAGAATGGCATAAAATCGCATAAGTTTCCCTTCTAGCCATGGCATATGAAAATTACATAATTCAAGAAAGAACTCTCTTTAAAAATTTTTGTAAACTTACAAACGACATCCGTTCCAATAAAAAGACAGAGGGAGAGAGAAAAGATCGAAAACGGAAAGAGGTGATTATAAACTAAAATTTTAAAGCAATTTGCTTTGAAGCAAAGTTTATTGAGTAAAACAACAATAAATAGGCAAATATATTACGTTCTCATATCTACAGTATTTAAAGCAATGTTCAGCTTTATGAAGCCCACAAAACATTTTGCTCGAAAAAAATATAGTTACTGGAGGGAAGTGAATGAAAACCTGAAAAACGCCTTTTACGACTTTCAAATCATTTCATTTTACTTAATATTATTCCAATTACAATTCATATGAGAAGCATATCAGCATAAAAAATATAGATATGGATATATATTAAGTACTCATATTATTCCCTTGATGTTTTTCCACTCTAGCGTAAAAGTCTACTGAAAATTAGATTCCTCCACAGTGTCTTTTATCCAAGAAGTAGCAAAAGATATAAAATTATTAAACGTTCTCTCGGTGCATTCTTTGCGACATTTCTGAAGTAGAAGACTTTTACGGAATCGTTCACACCTCACTTCGTATGTAACAAAAATATAAGGCAGTTGTTCTGAGAAATTCCTTCACAAATGCATATTTGACAGAAATATCTATAAAACATTTTCTTCCACAATAAATAATCCATCAAACTTGACTATCAAAAGCGTTTATGCTCCAATACTTCAAAGAGTTTGTGAAGTGCTCTAGAAATAATGAAGCATGCTAATTAGGTGATGTAATTTATACGCTAATTAGAATGATATTAGTTTAGGTAAGAGTTTTATTCTATGAAAGGTGAATACAGATTACACTTAATAATTGTTCTTGTGCGACTTTCTTTAAATCCGTTTCGAAATGCCTTTTTTATACAACTTACATTTACTTATTTTATTTATTTATTATGTTACAATATCCAAAAAGTGCGCCTTTTAAAATCTCCATGGGAATTTCATTCTGAGAAATATTCTTTTCAAGATAAAATTCCAAGAATTTAAATTTATAAAAATAATATCGCTTGCTACCAAAGCAACATTTTTTACGATATAACTTCGAAACTGTAAAGCAGTAAATTTAATTCTTTGAATTCCTTAGTACGCACTGAATTACATAGCATTCATTTCTATAAAATTAAATTATGAGAAATTCCTAGCAATTTTAACTTTAATGCGTGCGCTAGTTTTCATTTTTCATTTTCAATTTTATTTTGTTTTCAAGCGTTTTGTACTTGCTATATAAACTAAATTGCTATGTAACTGCTCTATAAACTGGTGATAAAACAAGTTATATTTTTCAGCATCTGCTTTACATATTCCCGTGTATAAAATGATCTATAGGATTTAAAACTTATAATATGTGTTTCCAAAAACAAAATTCATATATAGGCTTAATAAAATATTTTGATATGATTAGTTTGAAAATAGTATTTTAGTACTTGGTCCAGATTATCACGTCTGTAACATATCTTAGTTTATTTCTCCTTAGTTACATATAATATTGCAATTGTTACGCTTTTCTGTCTTTGGGTTTTCTGGAATCTACTTATCGCTTTAATCCAGAATCAAGAGTCCCAATATTTCGTGCTTTTCCTTGAATTTCCCAAGATTTTCTATATTGCTGAGACATAGCTTCCTGTAGAATGACGAAGTTATAATATTTTATTTCTAACCTTCTCTAAAAGAAGTCATAGCTTTGATAATAATATAAATAATCCATAGATACTGGAGTTTAAAATACATGTGTAATGGGAAAATTTTAGTGCACTATAGAAAAGAAAAATTTTGTACATTTCAGTAATAATGTTTTTATTAAAAAGTAAATAAATCTGTTACGTTGTTAAGAGAAATACAATGCTTAAGGTAAGCAAAGCTAACTTTAAAGAAAAAGAATAGATAACATAATACTCTGAAATCTCGAATCATCAAAGCATCTCTTCACCAACAATTCGGTTCACGAACAAATCATCTGAAGGGAAAAGTCTCGGATGAAGAACGGCGTCTCGAAGAACGAACAATCAAACCGATTGCAAATACTTTTCAAAGTTGTTTTCATGATAAAATTCATTATAAAACTTTCAATCAAACTAGAAAACACTAACTAAATCCCATTTTTGTTAAAAGAATCTTCATAAAATAAAAAAATAAAAAAATTAATAAACAGACAACATGCATTTACTTAAACTTTAAACTTTTCTAATTATAAAATACAAAATTTAGACACAGAAACTAATGAACTGGAGTAGTTATAAAACTTACATTTATTCCTTTAGACGCCAACTAGTATAGTCGTTTGACTGCTGAACATCCAACTGAGGAGCATGAAGCTTAATATTAGTTCTTGAAATAAAGAGCTCGACAACAATAAAACCAATGGGCGTAAGTAGAGCTGAGTTTTAGAAGTATCAGTGTTCTTACACTTGAAAGAGCAACAAGACACCGTCTATTTGCTTTTACTATTCCAGGGTTTTTCTTTGACAGTTCACCAAAACTGTTATCTCCATGCGTATTTATTGCTGTATAACGGCCAATTTTTGAAAGCTTTCCTCGTTACTTTTAAAGATAATTAGACATTCGCTTACCATATTATGAGTCATTAGCAGATATTTATTATCCAAAAGCTGAGCGACGCTGAAAACGAGCAAGAATAAAAGGACTTCTTGTTCGGATGGCTTCTACACAGCCACTGATTGGAATGAAGGGCCCTCAAATAGGGGCTTGAAGACTACCAACTCCGTCTAAAAGCGGAAGTTCAAGCAAAAGAGTGAGCTATCTCGGCATTTTTTTTTTTTTTCTCCTGCATTTTTTTAAAAGCATTTCTGGATTGATTTCATCTTTGACGTCGTGTGAACCAGGGACGAAGAGAAGATAATTGGCCCGCGTTTCGTATAAAAGACCCAAGGAATTAGAGCGATAGCTGTACATTGGCAGACTTTAATTCATTTAATGTTGTTGATCTTGCTTCGCAAGGTCTCGCCTGTTCTAACTTTCCGAAAAGGTTTGTATGCATTTAGCCTGCTTAATATTTTATATGTTAATTTGAATAGAAGTTTTTATTATTTGCCTGTTTAAAACAAACAAATAAACTTCTATACTAATAACTTACATTATTGCAGAATTATAGCGCTTAAGAATGATTCCTTAATCCCCTTTAAGAAATAATAAAGAAAATATTAAACAGAAACAAAATAATAAACATAAAATAGGATAGTATTTTATGTATGATTAACTGCGAGGCCACATCAAGGTTTAAATGAGCTTTTCTGTATCAACGAAAATGACGCTATCCAAATTATATTTTAGCAAACCTATATGTGAAAGATAATTAAGCAGTTTTCTTGATATTTAAATCTTGAATTATATTTGAATTCTAAGTTTAGATGAAAATTATAAAATTATCCATTAAGGTTCTGATTCAATGGCAATAATCTTGATGTCCATGGTTTTTGTTACTCTACATTATCGCTAAAAGCACACTTACTAGTGTAACTAAGTGAAATCCTTGTAAGAACATAGTACTGAGAATTTTAATGACACTGGATTCTTTAAATCAATAGAGGAGCAGGGACTGGAGAAATAAATTAGAAGGTGCCTTAAACAAATACGTGGAACAAATTAATATTCGTCGTTTTATACAATCATAAAAAAATGAAAGTAAACGAGGACATTGCAATAGCGTTTATGACAAATCGGAAACAAAAGAAACACTATTGAATAAATTTTAACTTATTAAAAAAACTTAGTAAAATTAAACATCAGCTAAGGATTTATGACATGATTTAATACCCAGCTTATTGTAATTTTTTAAATCCAGAATTTTATGCCAAACCGTTGACATTTAATTGGAGATAATAGCTCTTCGCTCATTATTCGCCACATCAACAAAATATAGGTCACAATGCTTTATGATTATTTTACATTTACGTTTAGTATTTCGAAATAATAAAATCCAAATTACATTGCGGATTATTATACATTAATGAAAGGGACGAGAGACTTTGAATAACTGTTATAAGAGAAATTATAGGCAGAGCCAAAAAATATTTTCTAAAATCATTTATATTGCAACAGAGGCAGGGAAACGAATAAGAAGAGAGGGATTTTTAGCTCCTCAAGAACTCAGTAAATTCTTAGTTCCTCATAACATTATTAAATAAGCTTTGATTTTTTATTTTTATAAAAGATTTTCACTGGATCGTCTCGTTGCTGGAACTTGTGGAGGATTTTGGAAGAGCTAAGACAGCAAATGAAACTCAAATGAGGACACTTAATTTTTAGTAAACCATTATAAAGACATATATGTGTAATGCGTATTAAATCTTATGTGTAATGCGTATTAAAAATAACATATTATAAATGATTACAATCATGTTATGAAATAATTATATCATTAAAATGAACTTAACTTTTAAATTAATTATACTACATTAATTCCTAATTTATGAGGTAATTCGGTTTGCTAAGTTACTGCTAAATTACTACTTGCTAATTTGCTAAATTACAATTTTTAAATTAAAATAATTAACAGTAATTTATTGAAGTATTGAAATATTAAAGTCTGCATTATACAAAGTTAGCTGCTGATTATTTTCTAGCTAATTAATTATTTAATAAAATATTTTTCTACAGAAAAGAAGGTTGTTGATCTGGTACACTTACATATTTATCAAGAATTTCGTCATTATATACACTAATATTGCTTTTGTAGAGACATTAGGTTATTTTTGGAAGCAGGCAAAATGAAAAATTAATAACGCCTTCGCCGGGAATCGAACCGCGGACCTCTCAATTACGCGCTGAGTGTGTGTTTTTAAATGTCACTTTAACTAAGAGCATATTGACGATTTTAGTTTTCTGTAACCTTTTGCCTAACCATTGGAAATAACAATAAAAAAACTTAAAAAAGCTGGAAAAAAATCTTTCTACAACAGCTTTAGAAATGCCAGAGGTTATAATACCTTTAAAAAATATTTATTATTCGAGGATAAGCAAGCGAGGAAACTTTTGATAAATTTAGCTTTAACCAGGGTGCACCACGAGGAGGACTGTCACGTTACACCCCACACGTTCCTGCTCATTGTGGCATCTAGAGAAATGAAAGACCCGATTTCCTGGCAAAGAAAGGAACGCCTATTCTACAAAACACTAATAACCATATGACTTTAATTCTGCAAAATTCCTAATTAAATTAGAATTTAGGAGAAGAAATTTGCCTCCTACCTACCAAATGAAGCTAAGGGAAAGACCTGGGAGTGTTTCACTACTTCAAAGCCAGTTATTCCAGATTTCCTCGTCTTGTAGCCGTGACGTTATTTCGTCTTTTGACTGGGCACCATTTTGACTGGGTCTGAATGCCCATCATTTTAAAATTCGACTTAAGGACTCTTCTGTCTATGCTCTTTGTAACGCTGGGCAATCCATGGATAAGGAGCATATTGACGAATGCATTGCACTAATATCTTTTAATTCTATTTTTCGTAAGTATTGAGTATTTTCGTAGTATTGAGCTCCGGGAACGACTGAACCGAAGAGTCCGAGGCCGTGCTCTGTGTGTCGTCGAGTGCATCGCGAGTTGTAGCGTGGAGAGTCTCGAGAGTACGTGGAGTTCCGAGAACGACCGAACAGAGTCAGTAGCTGCACTCTGGTGCTTTGTAGTGAAGCTGTCTCGACCGTTATAGCCTGATAGTGTGAAGACTGTGTCGCTGATTGTTCCAATGAGTGTATATAGTAGATCTTCGACGACTGCAAAACGTGATTTTGGAGCTGTCCTGATTAATATTGGCTAAATGAAGTGTATTTGTATAATTCAATGTGTCGTCGTTATTCACTCCAAATCCATACAAAGCCCGTACGAACGTGAAGGAAGAAAATAACGCAACAACTGGTGTCAGAAAAGAAAATAACGTAACATTCATTCAGAACTTTAATTATGCATAATTCTGGTACTATTACATTAACATCACATATTATAAATATCCATCAAAAGTAATGTTTGCTCCTAGGAAATTTCATTCCTCATAAATCTATAACACCACAGTTTCTTTATTCCGTTCGCTGTTAACAGTTTTACTTAGTTCTAGATTTAGAGCTCCTTTTTTGATGAAACATTTTAGTTCTTTTTAAATTTAATTCAGTTCAACTTAAGAGAATTGTACTTAGCCTTAAGTATATTCTGTTACTCTGTACATTTTCTGTAGTTACATCTTAATACAAGGAGATTCGAACTAGTCCCCTTCTACAGAACGTACTGATTTTGCCCAGATCTAAAAGCTGCTGCCGATTCAGTATAATTTGGTAAATGCAGAGAAAGAGACCTTTTACCTTTCAAAAATTCAATCTGTCGCGGATGAGCAGTACATTCATCTATGTAAAGCAAAATGTGACGGAAAACGCCGTATAACAGAAGTTATGCTTGGCATAAACGAAATTTTTTACAATTGACTTAAGTAGGAAGAGATAGGCAAAGAAATGAAACGGCGTACCAACACATAAGATTGAGAAGTGTATAAACGGTGGTACATGCGAATAGTAAGGTTGATAGGTATAAGAGCCAAATTAGCACAAAATTTCGGAAATATTTTTAAGGATTTTTGTTGCTTTTTATCTACATTATTCGTCAAAAATATATATAAAAATTAATTTTTGGAATTCTCTGTTAAATGTCTATGTATGCATTTTTTTGTTATGCTTACTGCAAGCAAATGTATTAGAGTTACACTGTTATGCTGATTAATGTAATTACACTGATGAAGAGTAATTGCACATACATTTTTAGATTAAATGTAATTACAGTGTAACTATAATTACATTTAATCTAAAAATTGAACAGCTATATTAGATTTCACGATGAATTTTTGCAACTTAAAATAATGTCGCAACTTAAAATCTTACAGCAAAACCTGATAATAAAATACTACAACAAAAGTGTAAATTCAGTTAAAATATTTATCATTTTTTCAACTTGAACTAAGAAGATTAACAGACAATGAACTTCTGCAGTTTGCAGCCACAGTATATAATAGTAATTCATTTCATTTATAAATCATATATTAAAAACTAAGAACCTGGCTGTAACATTTCAGAAGCTGCAAACTGTAAAGCTAACTCGCAACAATACCTATAGCATTTCAGCAGGAATAAATCTAGGACTAAATTACCAAAGCTCTCTATATATACTTACATTTTCCTTCATTATTTACGCCAATTAATTTTTCTTTTTCTGGTAGAATAGACGAAACTGTAGGAGTGCAGAAGAGATTCAATGTAATAAACATTGTGTTGATTAATAATATAAGGTATTTTTCTCCTTCCTTCCAACATGCCTTCATGGTGTAACAGTAGCATACGCCGCACGTATTTGAGAGACCCAGGTTCAAGTTCCGACGAAGGCATTGCATACTTTTCACGTAATCCTTCTTTAAAGAAAAACTGATCACTCGGAGTATATAAGGTATTTTCTCCTTTTCAGTATGTCTTCTTGGTGTACAGGTAGAATATTCGGACCGTATTCAAGAGGTCCAGGTTCGAATCCCGGCGACGGCATTGCTTATTTTTTAAGTCTCCTGCTTCAAAAAAACCTACTGTTTCTACAGTGGAGTCCGAACGAAATGGTGGGGGACAATAATTCGCCACCACCAGTATTTGACG